ACACACGCGCGCACACACACACACACACACACACACACACACACACGCACACACAGATGCAGGAAAAGAGGAATGAGAGAGAGAGATGCCTTATTTTATTTCTTGCAATGCAGTGACTATATCAGTGCATCTTTTTGTTTATCTCAGAGGAGCTTGTTACTCAATCCACTTGGGTAACAGCTTTTAGCACTGGAGATTACTTACTGTAACCAAACTACACTGCATGAAAAGAGCTGTATACGGACCAGTAAACTCCTGTACACACTGCAGATTTTCGGTCAAATCCGGAAGTATTACTGACTAGACACGGAAATACCATGGGTCCGTATACTGCCAAATTTGTACCAATTCGGTAGGGTTTGGCTCTATAGTCTACAGAGTTCAGTCTGATGAGTCAAAATATATATTTGCAAGGGGGAAAAGTCAAATATGTGCTTGCAATGTCCTATATGATAGTCGTACATTTACTTAAAAGTGAAACGTCTTCATGTATTCATGTCATTCCAAATGTAATTTCTTTGCTCAAAGGTCATGGACCAAAGTGTCTATTACACGTTTTGGCGTGATACATGATGCAACGCATGCACATTCTTGAAAATCATTTGTGCCTAATTAAGGAAGCGCTGAGAGTGAAAGGGAATCATTCATTCATAACTCTGATAGGACAAGACTACTTGAGTGAAGTCATTAAAACTACTCTTAGTAGCCATTTTAACATATTTGATTAACTAGTTTAAAGAAAGGGACCAGCATGCAACCAAAACTGTTAAGCTCTTTACATGCATACAGTCTGACAACACATCTGGCCTCATGCACAAATGTCTGCACACCTCCTTTTGCCAATCGGTTGTTGTGCATTTGCAGTTGTTTAGGAACTGGTTCATCCTGTTCAGCTCTCATTGAGGAGGTGAATACAGTCAACTCTGTAAAAGTGCAAAATCACCATTATACACCTGTTTTACAAACAGTAAACTATATAGGAGACACACAATCTAAACCTGTACGGTGTTGAAATGCTGTCACATGTCGAATGAAAATGTCTGGATAAAGGCCTTCAAGATGATCATTGTAACTCTTTAAAACAGGAAATAGTCCCGTTTGTGTGCAGATGAAATTTCTGGATGAGAATAGACATCAGTGGTAACATTAAATGTCACTTTTTCAAAATGCATGAGTGAAAGTGTGTGCATAAGTTTTGGTTTGTATTGCATGCACTTATAATCTTAAACTCAATCTTGAACCTTTTAAAATCACTCGTGAGCTGACCAGAACTCATCGGCTGGATGTTTTAATTGAGGGCAAGGTCTTCATGCAGTTCCTAGAGATATTACCTTTTCCTGACTCTGAAGCAAGGTAAAGTATAATGTTATGTCGCTGGCCAGTGAAAGCAGTGGCTATGCAACAGCATTTCACTGTTGAGAATTAACTCATTTAGTATTTGGACAGAGAAGTGCAATAAAAAGTTTAATATTTACCATAACATTGTGTGTGATATTTTTAGTTAGTGTCCTATGGAATTTTTTCTGTGGAAACTGATTTTTTAAAAAGGCAATTCAATATTTTATGTCACAATTCTGACTTTTTTCCTTGCAATTTTTAGTTTATATCTTGCAACTCTTTTTTTCTGCAAAATTTTTCTGTAACTTCTAAGAAAAGTCAGAATTGTAAAATATACATTTTATGTCACAATTCTGACTTTTTCCCTTGCAATTTTAGGTTTATATCTTGCAACTCTTTTTTTCTGCAAAATTTTTCTGTAACTTCTAAGAAAAAGTCAGAATTGTAAAATATAAACTCGCAAATCTGAAAAGAAAAGTCAGAATTGTGAGATAAAAGTCGCAATTTCGCTTACAAAAAAAGTGAGATGTAATCTCAGAATTCAGACAAAAAAAAGGCAATTCTAAAAATTGTCCAAATTGTGGAAAAAAGTTGCAATTACCTTTTTTATTTTATTTTATTTTGCAGAAATACATTTCCATAGGGTATAATATAATTCTAGAAAATATTTTTTGCAGTCTAAAATACTGGAGGACAACCAACTGCAACCAACTTTTTAGCAACAGAAAAAAATATATATAAAAGGAAAGCAAAGACAGTTCAGGTCAAGTGAGGTGGTTTATTGTCATACTCACCTACTTTGCGGGCCAAGTTGAATTGCATTGGTCTGGAACAGAGTCAAGTCTCCCTCTTACAGTTTAGCTGGCCGAAAAGCTGTTTAACGATATACACAGACACAGAAGCAGGAAGGAACAGCAAAAGAAAGAGGAGAACGGGTGACAAATGAGAACATATTTTGTATTAGTGTACTATTTTAGGGATTAAGAATCCATTAAAAATGCATATCTGACCACTAATGATAATTCCGGGTGATGATGATCAGTGTTGGGCCTGAGATGCATCTTATAAACTAATAAGATCTGTGTGTCAGTTAAAGCATTAAAGGGTTAGTTCACCCAAAAATGAAATGAAAATTAGGCTGCGTTTTACTCACCCCCGAGGCATCCTAGGTGTATATGACTTTTTTCTTTCAGACGAATCCAGTCGGAGTCATATAAAAAATTGTCTTTGATCTTTCAAGCTGTTTAATGCCACTCAGCGGGTATTGCATTGCTTCAGTCCAAAAGAACTTAAATAAAAATCGCCCATCCATAAAAAAAGTGTCTCACACGGCTCCAGGGGGTGAACAAAGGCCTTCTGTAGCGAATCGATGCGTTTTTGTAAGAAAAATATCCATATTCAAAACGTAATAATCACTTTAATGTAGCTTGCGCTCCCTTTAATACTTGGCTTTTCCTATGTTTTCTCAATCTCTGAGGAGTGTGTTACTCCTCTCACCCAGCCGGGTAACAGCTGAAGAGAATGCTAGCTAACACAGCATAAACAAACAAGGAGTACTGTTACTGTAATTGTAAACTGAAGGAGCCAAATCAATTTTAGAAGTAATATTCTGCAAGTCTGGCATGTCAAATATGTTTTTGCTTGTAATGTGCTTTTTGATTGCATTTTATGGCCTGACTTTTATGGTCTTTAAATGAATTATCAGCTAAGAGGTTTTTTATCTAGGTTATCAGGCAATTACATAGTTCTCGTTTGTAATCTGTCCAGTTACTGTCATTTCTTATTGTCAGAAAGCAAGACAAATGTTCATATTTCACTTTACAATATTAATTGTGAAATAAATTGCTGAAAATGTGAATTACAAGGACAAGCACATCAGTATCATCATGTGTTGCATTAAAGTTTTTATTGAAGGAAGCGTTATTATGGATTATGTTCGTATTTTGGCAAAAAGCAACGGTTTAAAGTTAAAACGTCTGATTTGTTTCTTACAAACATGCAGCTTTTCACTTCACAAGATGTTAATTGATGGACTGGAGTGGTGTGGATTATCATGATGTTTTTATCAACTGTTTGGACTCTGATTCTGACGGCACCCATTCACTGCAGAGGATCCATTGGTGAGCAAGTGATGTAATGCTATTTCTCCAAATCTGTTCATGAAGAAACAAACTCATCTACATCTTGGATGGCCTGAGCTTTTCCTTTAATAACAAAATACTCGAGAAGGAGTGTAAAAAGTGTATTTATGGTGAAATTCTGATTTGTTTTCGAGGCCTCAGTTAGGGAGAACTTGCGAGTGCTATGCAAATGCTGCCCTATTTGCTGCCCTTAATCATTTATTGCTCTGTTCACTGTGACTTGCATGTTTTGACAGCGAAAGGACGGGCCAATGCAAACAATTCTATCTCTATGTAAATCTTAAAGCATGTTTGTCATATTTGGCACACGGGCCCCTCCTGCCCTCCGTCAGTCTTTGTGACTGTATTTGCAGTGATTAATCAAGAACTGGTTCTTCCTACCAACTGAAGTGCTGTGTCACCATAACAAACAAATTAAATTCTATAGCAAACATACTGCTGTAAGTGTACTTGAACTCAGCAGCTGATTTGTCCTAAAATGACTGTCATTTATCAAAGCATATACACTGAAAAGTGCTCTACTGCCCTGCAGATGTAACTTACCTTTATTTCCAGATTCTGATTTAAAACATTGACAGTATACAGTTAGTAAGATTCAACAACATGACAAGTCATGACATGACAAGAGAGACAACAGAATAGACTTTTAGCCTATAAAAAAAATCTGCATAAGCTGCATAAGTTTCCCCTTTTTAGGGCACAACTAGACCACAGATATTCTCTCTAAACCTATATGAAAATGATTATATTAACCCTTATATTTACTTTATATATTATATTATATTACATTTCTTCCATCTACACTTGATCTTCTAACATTAGTACTCTCTGTTCTATTTCTATGCTATCGTTTTCTTTTATTTATCATATATAAAACCCTTGACCTTCACTAGAACTCTCTATTTCTATTCTATCTACTTGTTTTATTTGTATTTATTAAAAAATAATAATAAATTGACCCTCTAACACTAGCATCCTCTATTCTATTTATGTTCTATCAACTTTTTATTTTTTTATTTATTATACTGTGGTAGACTAACTGGGACTTGTTACAGCACTTATATATTATTTCTAGTTTCTCCAAATCTGTTGTTTAAGTGTCAAAATTATTGTTAGTTTAGTGGATTAGTCTTCTGGTTGGGCTTGGTTCCTAGATTGACATAAAAAAAACTGACAAACATGAACCATGTCTATTATTATCTTAATACTAAGTTCTAACTATATCTCTATAGTTATATAGT